CCTATTTATCCATATCTATCCATCCATCCACCATCGTGCCTATTTATAGCCATATCTATCCATCCATCCATCGTGTCCTATTTATCCATATCTATCCATCCATCCACCTGTGCCTATTATCCATATCTATCCATCCATCCATCCACCGTGCCTATTTATCCATATCTATCCACCATCCACCGTGCCTATTTATCCATATCTATCCATCCATCCACCCACCGTGCCTATTTATCCATATCTATCCATCCATCCATCGTGCCTATTTATCCATATCTATCCATCCATCATCCACCGTGTCTATTTATCCATATCTATCCATCCATCCACGTGCCTATTTATCCATATCTATCCATCCATCCACCGTGCCTATTTATCCATATCTATCCATCCATCCCACCGTGCCTATTATCCATATCTATCCATCCATCCACCGTGCCATTTATCCATCTATCCATTATCCATATCATCCACCACACCGTGTCTATTTATTTATCCTATCCATCCATCCACCGTGCCTATTTATCCATATCTATCCATCCATCCACCGTGCCTATTTATCCATATCTATCCATCCATCCACCGTGCCTATTTAATCCATATCCATCCATCCACCATCCATTTCCATCGTGCCTATTTATCCATCTATCCATCCACCGTGTCTATTTATCCATATCTATCCATCCATCCACCGTGCCTATTTATCCATATCTATCCATCCATCCAACACCGTAATCCTATTATATCCATATCTATCCATCCATCCATCGTGCCTATTTATCCATATCTATCCATCCATCCACCGTGCCTATTTATCCATATCTATCCATCCATCCATCCACCGTGTCTATTTATCCATATCTATCCATCCATCCACCGTGCCTATTTATCCATAATCTATCCATATCCATCCACCGTGCCTATTTATCCATAATCTATCCATCCATCCAATCTATCCATCATCACACCGTGCCTATTTATCCATATCATCCATCCATCCACCACGTGCCTATTTATCCATATCTATCCATCCCATCCCCACTCGTGCCTATCCATCCACCCACATCCTATTTATTCCATATCTATCCCATCCATCCACCGTGCCTATTTATCCATATCTATCCATCCTTCCCCACCGTGCCTATTTATCCATATCTATCCATCCATCCACCACCGTGCCATTTTATCCATATCTATCCATCCATTAACCACCATGCCTATTTATCCATATCTATCTATCCATCCATCCACCGTGCCTATATTTATCCATATCTATCCATCCATCCACCGTGCCTATTTATCCATATCTATCCATCCATCCATCCACCGTGCCTATTTATCCATATCTATCCATCCATGCCTATTTATCCATATCTATCCATCCATCCACCGTGCCTATTTATCCATATCTATCCATCCATCCACCGTGCCTATTTATCCATATCTATCCATCCATCCATCCACCGTGCCTATTTATCCATATCTATCCATCCATCCACCGTGCCTATTTATCCATATCTATATCCATCCATCCCATCCACCGTGCCTATTTATCCATATCCTATTCCATCCACCGTGCCTATTTATCCATATCTATCCATCCATCCATCCACCGTGCCTATTTATCCATATCTATCCATACCATCCTATTTATCCATGTCCATCCAGCCATCCATGCCTATTATCCATATCTATCCATCCATCCACCGTGCCTATTTATCCATATCTATCTATCCATCCATCCATCGTGCCTATTTATCCATATCTATCCATCCATCCACCGTGCTGCCTATTTATCCATATCTATCCATCCATCCACCGTGCCTATTTATCCATATCTATCCATCCATCCACCGTGCCTATTTATCCATATCTATCCATCCATCCATTTATCCATATCTATCCATCCATCCATTCGTGCCTATTTATCCATATCTATCCATCCACATCCATCGTGCCTATTTATCCATATCTATCCATCCATCCATCCATCCACCGTGCCTATTTATCCATATCTATCCATCCATCCACCGTGCCTATTTATCCATATCTATATCCATCCATCCACCGTGCCTATTTATCCATATCTATCCATCCATCCACCGTGCCTATTTATCCATATCTATCCATCCATCCCATCCACCGTGCCTATTTATCCATATCTATCCATCCATCCATCCATCCACCGTGCCTATTTATCCATATCTATCCATCCACCGTGCCTGTTTATCCATATCTATCCATCCCACCACCGTGCCTATTTATCCATACCTATCCATCCATCCACCGTGCCTATTCATCCATATCCATCCACCGTGCCTATTTATCCATATCTATCCATCCATCCATCCATCGTGCCTATTTATCCATATCTATCCATCCATCGTGCCTATTTATCCATATCTATCTATCCATCCATCACCGTGCCTATTTATCCATATCTATCCATCCATCCACCGTGCCTATTTATCCATATCTATCCATCCATCCACCCACCGTGCCTATTTATCCATATCTATCCATCCATCCACCACCGTGCCTATTTATCCATATCTATCCATCCATCCACCGTGCCTATTTATCCATATCTATCCATCCATCCATCGTGCCTATTTATCCATATCTATCCCATCCATCGTGCCTATTTATCCATATCTATCCATCCATCCATCCACCGTGCCTATTTATCCAAACTATCCATCCATCCACCGTGCCTATTTTATCCATATCTATCCATCCACCGTGCCTATTTATCCATATCTATCCATCCACCGTGCCTATTTATCCATATCCATATCCATCCATCCACCATGTGCCTATTTATCCATATCTATCCATCCATCCACCGTGCCTATTTATCCATATCTATCCATCCATCCACCGTGCCTATTTATCCATATCTATCCATCCATCCACCGTGCCTATTTATCCATATCTATCCATCCATCCACCGTGCCCATATCTATCCATCCATCCATCCATCCACCGTGCCTATTTATCCATATCTATCCATCCATCCACGTGCCTATTTATCCATATCTATCCATCCATATCCATATCATCCATCCATCGTGCTATTTATCCATACTATCCACCATCGTGTCTGTTTATCCATATCTATCCATCCATCCACCGTGCCTATTTATCCATATCTATCATCCATCCATCCATCGTGCCTATTTATCCATATCTATCCATCCATCCACCGTGCCTATTTATCCATCCATCCATCCATCGTGTATTTATTCATATTCATATCATATCCATCCATCGTGTCTATTTATCCATATCTATCCATCCAATATGTTTATTTATCCATATCTATCTATCTGTCTATCTATCTATCTATCTATCGATCTATCTATCTATCCATTCATCATGTCTATTTATCCATATCTATCCATCCATCCATCCACCGTGCCTATTTATCCATATCTATCCATCCATCCATCCACCGTGCCTATTTATCCATATCTATCTATCCATCCATCCATCGTGCCTATTTATCCATATCTATCCATCCATCGTGCCTATTTATTCATATCTATCAATCCATCTACCGTGCCTATTTATCCATATCTATCTATCTATCAATCCATCCACCGTGCCTATTTATCCATATCTATCCATCCATCCACCATGTTCCTATTTTATCCATATCTATCCATCCATCCATCGTGTCTGTTTATCCATATCTATCCATCCATCAATCCATCCACCATGCCTATTATCCATCCATCGTGCCATATCCATCCACCATGCCTATCTATCCATCCACCGTGCCTATTTATCCCTATCTATCCATCCATCCACCGTGCCTATTTATCCATATATATATCTATCCATCCACCGTGCCTATTTATCCATATATATCTATCCATCCATCCATCGTGCCTATTTATCCATATCTATCCATCCATTGTTTATTTATCTCTATATCTATCTATCTATCTATCTATCTATCTATCTATCCATCCATCCATCCATCCATCGTGCCTATTTATCCATATCCATCCAGCAACTGTGTCTTTTTAATCATATCTTTCTATCCCTCCTTCCCTCCCCTGACAGTGAAAATTAATTTTGCCATCCATTTACATTGTCCATCTATCCATCCATCCATCTCTACCTCAAACAATGTCCATCGGTTCATCTACCAACTACCCATCCATCATCCATCCATCCATGTCTACCTCTACAGTGTCTACCAATCCATCCCTCGGCAGTGTCTATAACTCCATCCCTCCCTCCCTCAGTAATATCCATTCATCCCCTCCACCTTCCTCCTTAGTGTCCATCCATCCATTCTTCCCTCCCCCGACAGTGTCAACCTATCCATCCATCCAACCATCCATTTACACTGTCCATCCATCCACCCTCCCTTGACAGTGTTCCATCCCTCCTACTTACCTCAACAATGCACATCAATTAATCTATTAGCCATCCATCCATTCAGTGTCCATCTATTCATCCATACATCTGCCCCTCCATCCATACATCTGCCCCTCTGACAGTGTACTGTACCTCACTCCACCCATCCATCCCTCAACAGCATCCATCCATCCATCACCCCCTCCCTGCATCAATCGTGTCCATCCTTCCCATTCTCTCTCAACAGTGTCCATCCATCCATTTCCAGCTACACATATGATCTATCTACGTATATCTGTATTGATCTCATATTGATATTGATTTATTTATCCATTATCTATCTAGAGTGTCCACCCATCCCTCCCTTTACAGTATCCATCCTTCCCTTAACACTGTCCATCACTCCACTCCATTACCAGCATCCATCCCTCCTGCCCTCAATACCATCCATCCCTCTATCACTCCCTCTGTCACTTAACACTGTCCATGTCCATCCATCCATCTGAGTGATGTCAGTGGCCTTATATTAATCATTGCAGTGTATATGAAGGGGCAGTAAGAATTGTGCTATGTACTATAATCAGATTTTTTACCTCTAATCCCACATACTGATCTCTATCTGCTCCTGGCAGGATCTCCGGAGATACGGCTCTAGAACGAGACATCCACGGTTCTGTGAGTGAGCAAATCCAGAAGAATTTTGCCCGGACTCAGTGGAAGGTGAGATGGTCATCGTGTTATGAATGCTATGCACATCTTCAGGGTCTTTATATATAAAACGTTCTCTGGACGACCATGAACCACTCCAAAGAAACTTGCTGTATTTTGTGTAATATAATTATCTCCTATGATCGTAAGCGCCATCTATTGGCCATAATACAGTATTATTTTAACATGACCTCAATCGGGAAATAAATTGCAGTATGGCCACTAGATGGCGATTACGATCATAGGAGATAAATATATTACACAAAATACAGCAAGTTGTGTGGATGTTTGTCACGTTCGTAGAGAGTGTGTAGACACGCATAAAATACTGTACGGGATCTGGCTACTAGGTTCCTTATGGCAGTGCCCTCTTAATAGCATCCTGGACCCCTGGGCAAAGTAATGCACTGCAACAGCCTGGGGCCCCTAACAGCCTGCATCAGGTGTCCCCATCACAGTGCCCCCTTACATCAGGTGTCCCCATCACAGTGCCCCCTTACATCAGGTTTGCCTCCCCTTCACACAGTGCCCCCTTACATCAGGTGTCCCCTTCACAGTGCCCCCTTACATCAGGTGTCCCCTTCACAGTGCCCCCTTACAGGTGTCCCAGGTGTCCCATCAGGTGTCCCCTTCACAGTGCCCCCTTACATCAGGTGTCTCCACCACACTGCCCCCTTACATCAGGTGTCCCCATTCATCAGGTGTCCCAATACTGTACATCAGGTGTCCCCATCCATAAGGTGTACCAATACTGTACATCAGGTGTCCCCATCACAGTATCCATATACATCAAATGTCCCCGTCACAGTGTGTCTCCAACATAGACCAGCCTCTGCTCCTTCTGACAGGAGTGACATTGCAGTTACTCCTGTCAAAGAAGAGAAGCACAAGTGGCCAAATCGCTAGTGCACCCCCTCAACACAGCGCCCGGTGACCCCTTGTCCAGGTGTGCTCATATATTAAGATGGCCTTGCCTTATGGGTATTTCATGTCTTTAGAAACTGCAAAGAGCCAAATTTTTGAGAGAGCCCTTGGGTGAAAGATTTTCAGAGGATGATCAAGGCACTTTGAACATGGCTGACATGCATAAGTAGTAACAATGCATAGAAACAAGGCTTTTAAAACATAAATTGAAAAGAAAATAATATTACAGCCGTATTCTATTTGTTTTTTTTAGAGGGCATTTAATGCAACGTCCTTCCTGCGCCATATTACTAAAATGGGTCAAAGTGCTGAAGTAGATACTGATGAAAACGCAGGGGAGACGGTCCAGGAGGAGAAAGATAAGTGGTGATTGGAGGTAAGAACGAAAAGAGAGAGGAAAAAAAAACTGTTCATTCTGTCAGAATCGGCACATCATCAGGGGCACGCTGAAGAGCCAGTTGGCCCCGTGGTGATGCACATCACTGTATGCACAGTACAGTAGCCTGAAGCCTCCTGAGATCTGTGAACTGGATATCCCAGGAAGCTACGGGAAAGGGGGCACCATTCTCACAAGGGCGAGAATTCTAGAAGCGCCTGAAGATGACCCCCAAAAAATGATTTTCAATTGTGAGAGGCGGGGTGGAATGGGGGTTTTTTGATCAGCGCAAGGGTGTAAAGTAGATGAGGATGCTTAAACTCCACTTTTGGTTTTGTAAGTGAGCTCTGTTACCATAGATGAGGCAGGATCACCAGGTGAAAATAAACCAAAAAGGAAACTAATGCAGCTACCACATCTAAGGACTGGTAAGCTGCAATATATTCCATTTTTATTCTTGGGTTTAGATCAGTGATGGCCAACTTTCTTGACAATAAATAACTGCACATCTGTGTCAGAGACTGCACACAGATAAGAGGAGATAGTTACAGGAGACAAACATGAAATGATATGGAGATGGTCAGAGACTGCAGACAGGATACAAGAGATGGTCAGAGACTGTAGACAGGATACAAGAGATGGTCGGATACTGCAGACAGGATACAAGAGATGGTCGGAGACTGCAGACAGGATACAAGAGATGGTCGGAGACTGCAGACAGGATACAAGAGAAGGTCGGAGACTGCAGACAGGATACAAGAGATGGTCGGAGACTGCAGGCAGCATACAAGAGATGGTCGGAGACTGCAGGCAGCATACAAGAGATGGTCGGAGACTGCAGGCAGCATACAAGAGATGGTCGGAGACTGCAGGCAGCATACAAGAGACGGAGACTGCAGGCAGCATACAAGAGATGGTCGGAGACTGCAGGCAGCATACAAGAGATGGTCGGAGACTGCGGGCACGATACAAGAGATGGTCGGAGACTGCGGGCACGATACAAGAGATGATCGGAGACTGCGGGCACGATACAAGAGATGGTCGGAGACTGCGGGCACGATACAAGAGATGATCGAAGACTGCGGGCACGATACAGGAGATGATCGGAGACTGCGGGCACGATACAAGAGATGATTGGAGACTGAGACTGGGGCACGATACAAGATGATCGATGTGGGCACGATACAAGAGAGATCGGAGACTGCGGGCATGATACATGAGTTGTCAGAGCCAGAGATTGAAGATATGCTGTGGGAGTTAGTGGAGACTTGTGTCCTATACATATGATCAGAAAATGGTATGAAAAATGCCGCATTTGAAGTGATTGTACGATAATCTGATCATTAGTACACAGCTTTCGTCTGAAATTATTTGAAGGGACATACACGAAAATTTTTCTCGTACGATACCAGATCGTATGACTTTCGTTTGTTCAGTACAGAGTTCGTCTGAAAATACATTACAAATACAATACATCACTTCCGAATTTTCTTTCTGCTGTACAAGAATTTTCGTAACATTCGTAACCTCTTCACTTTTTGATGAGACTGGCATGCAAAAAAAAAAATGGACGATCATTCGTCCAATATTCTCCGGTAGAGATAACCATGAGACTAGTAGAGATAACCACTAAAACAGTGGCAATAGAGAAACAGTGTATGCAGGGCCTTGAGGACCATAAAAAAGTGCCAAGGGACGAATGTGGCCCCTGGGCTGTAGATTGGACATCAGGGTTTTAGATATACTTTAACTAGGTCTGGCAATTATGTGCTTGATAGACGGCTTTGTCTCTTGTAGAGCCCTTAATAAGTCTGAGTGTATGAGGGTTGCTGAGCATCCTTCAGCCAAGTTTGATGAAACAACACAATCCGCTGTAGCCTACACATATTTGGGAACCACAGTGGAAATGTGTTGGCTGCAGTTCCAATAAATAAACATGAATGCTTAAGCAGGTTTGTTGAGATCTTTCATGTACACAAATTTGGACTAGTGTGCTTCTTAAGCCAAGCCTTGTTTTTACTCTTTCTGGCCCAGAGATTATCTACTATTGATGAGCCTATTCATTTATTGTAGTGCTGTCATGACAACAGCTGCTAGTGTATTGATAAGCCGCCTCATTATGAATGTAGAATCAGTCCAGAACCTTAGCTTCATTTAAGGAGGAACTTCACCCTACCTTACAAAAAAATATCTCCAAACCATAATAATTGTCCCTGTGTGTAAATTAAAAAACATATAAGTACCAGTCCATGGAGTCCAGCCTTGCTTTCTGTCAGGAATCTAGGAATGACCAGAAAGGTGTGGACTGACACAGGGAAATGCAGGCCTCAGGTACAGTATAATACAGTTTATTATTAGCCACTCAGATATATATATATATATGATTCCATATATATATATATATACATATATACGCACAGTGAGCAAACCAACCTTCCACTAATCTTAGGAGGTGCAGGAACACAGGCGTAGTCAGGGCTGGAGAGGTGGAACGGTCAGGCCGGCCGTAGGGTTCTGTAATGACCGTTTGGTGGTACCTCTAGTGGTCCCCAGGACAGGATTCCCCAGGGTGCGGAGTCTAAGTCCCAGTCTGCTTATTCACCAGGGTTCCTGATGGTGGGGATGGACTTGGAGCAGACAGGAACCAGGTCGCGGCCCCCTGAGTACACCTGCTAGTGGTAGAGGGATCCGCCAGAGGTATGTGCAGGTACGGCTGGATCCGTGCAGGATGGATGGATGGCAGAGTAGTTAGCGTGGTCAGATGGGCCAAGTCAGCAACGTGCGGGCAGCAAGGTACCAAAAGGAGCAGGCAGAGAATGGTCAAGGTCACAAGCCGGGTTCAGTAACTCACGGACAGCGCGGTACAGGGGATCAGGCAGAAGGATGGTCAGGCAAGCCAGGGGTTCAACAGGAGACGGTCAGCAGAGGTCAGGATCAATCCGGGTCAGCAACGAAGCAGGAACACAGGGTACCAGGTACAGAGGCTCATGGGAAAACATACACCAAGGCCCAGAGCACAGGCCTGGTCATGCCTTAAATACACCTTTCTGCAATCAGCCCCAGGTTTGGCTGATTGCTCGTGTGAGCTTCTGGCTGCTGAGAGCACCCGCTGGTCAGCTCTGGTACTGCAGCCCACACGGCAGGTGAGTCCCACCACCTGTGCGGAGTCCATTCCTGACACTTTCCTTCCTACCCAAAGTTCCTCTTTGTTGCTTTGCTCCATCTTGCATTGTGGGTTATCTCATTCGTACATATGCCATGGATCTATGCCACATCTATGGGACCTAACAGAGAGATCCATGGTGCATCTGCACATGCACAAGCTCCCACAGTCTATGGGTACTGCCAAAAATCTGTGGCTAATACACAAGATCCCAGACCGAGAAACTGAAATACTGCCTCCTTGGATATGACCTAGACATCTCAGACGACAACACGTGGCTGGACAAGCTAGGCAAGGATTCAAGGTGTCCATACCAAGGAGGTAAAAAATAAAATCCACTTGTGTAAGAGGTTGGGGGCAGAGGCAGATTAGAGAAAGTGACATTTGTGGGTGAAGGTCTACTTTATCATTCATACAATACCCATACCTTTGTGTTTTATTGAATTACCAATTGGATCAACTTGTGCCTCTTTGAGTAGTCAACATATTCGGCCCTACTGAAAACAGCATAATTTTGCCAATTTAGTCATCCACAGGACCCAGTAAAAATAATGTAATGTAACTGAAATATCAGGTTGAGCGAAACAACTCTTTAAAAAGAAGCACAGTAATAACCTCCACTATGAATCTCTGGAGATACACTAAATAGCCAAGTGTATGTGGAGGCCTGACCATCACACCTATATGTGCTTGCTGGGCATCCCATTCTAAACCCAAGTACATAAAGTCAAGCATATTATCATGTGATCTTCATTGACAAACCTAGGCATACAAAACCAGTTTAGACAGTTGTAGACTTCCAACGGTTTGGTTGAAGGCCCTTTTTCTGTACTCCTATGTTTAAAGCCAACTCCAAAGATTTGGTTTGACCAGTTTCAATGGTATGGTGTAACTGTAATGCACAAAACTCCTTAGTTATTTTCATTGGAATGTTACCTTCCTATATATACTAAAGCAATGGGGGAGTATATAACCTTGTATCATGTAAGAAAGAATGTACGTTGTGTCTTTTGCCCACATTGTATTGCCTTTAGGTTCTTTAATGACTTTGCTGACTTTGATTCTTCTTTCCATTACCATTAACAGCTGGAAAGTGAAGACTTGACGTCTGGAGTCCCCCATACCAGGGATCTCCATGTCAGGCACTACACCCTTGCATGAGCTTGTGGTGACACCTGTCTGCATGATGCCTACAGCGGCCAATGGCTGTTCTTCCCTTAGCCCACCACGGCCCCACTTCAAACCCCCCGTTCCTCCAGCTGGTCACGGTTCATTGAGAAGTTCTTGAGATGGAGTACAAAAGGCTGCTTCGGTATGGCTTGTCCCCTACTACCTCCTCATTCAAAGGGCCATAAAAAGACACAGACTTAGATCGCTTGATGGTTGTGTTGTGTCGAAGTCCTCTCTCGTAATGAGTAATGCGGAGGATGGCCATGGAACCCAGAACCCAAGGACAATGCGTGGGCCCATTAGATTTACACATTGTTGTCTGCCACATACTAACATTTTATTCCACATCATTTTCTTAAAATGCTTATATTTATTTAAGTATGAAAAATATGTTCCTTAATGCTCTTGTTTAGTTTTTATTGCCGTCAGGTTAATGGCTTCAAGGGGGCATTATGAGATCTTGTGCAAGTATGAGCCATATCAGAGGTCCCAAAGATTGCATTTTGTCTAAACTTCACCACTTAGTTGGACCTTTCTGAGTTTTCACCTTGTGTGTTTCCATGTTCATATTTTAGTTGTTTTTAAGCCACCATCACATCTGTAAAAAAAAAAAAAAATTCCTCAAAGTTTGGAGGGTGCAGAAGATGATGTATCCCAGTAC